CCATGTTCAGTAACTCAGTACTGTAGTACTATGAGGAAAATAAAGCAAGATGAAGGGGGAGGAATGGAACAGAAGAGCCATGTCAGACCATAGGGGCTTCCTCTAGTAAGGTGATGTCTGAGCAGAGACTGAGCAAGTAAGGGAGTGAACTCTAAAGTTCCAAGACAGATCAACAGTAGTTAGGGACAGGAAGGACACAGAATCAAAAACAAAGGACTTTTTCCAAAGTAATAGGATCTCCTCCAGAGCCTCTGATCTCTAACAGACGCACTGGAATCTTGGGGTCGGAACTGATACGGGTTAGAGGTGTTACTGAGTTCCTGTGGAGACTGTGATATATGTTCTCTACCTGAGAAGCTCAATTGCCTATTTTTCTATTGTCCTCGAAATAGTTCCTTTGTCTAGCTCTGGGGTAGGAGACTTCTGTATTCAGAGCTGATATTTGGTCTTTATTTTGATACATCCTGTGTATCTTGGCATGCAGGGGCTTTTGTGGCAGGGCTGGATGCTGGGCTTGTTTACAACTCCTTCCCCAAAATGGGAGACACTTGGATCCCAGAGGATCTCCTTACCTTCTCTCCCATCCTGAAGAATGTCTTTGAGAATCCCACCATGGTGCAGTTTGATCACCGGCTTCTGGTAAGTGTGCTGGTTTGTGCTGCTGGGCATTGGAACCCTCACACATGTTTTGGGAGTGCCAGGGAGGCACTGGGCATCAGGACCCTCACATACGTTTTGGGAGTGCCAGGGAGGCACTGGGCATCAGGACCCTCACAAAGGGTTTGGGAGTGCCAGGGAGGCATTGACAACTGTTAGCATGGCAGTAACTGACCGTTCTTTTGGAGGCAATTCTAGGATCAAACAGATGTCAAATCTGACATTTTTGTCATTACATCCAAATTCTAGCTTAAAATCAGATAGGCAAGTTAATACTAACCCCACTCAATCCTGAATATGCCTAAGTGTCATTTCAGCAGAGATGCGATTAGAGAACAGACTGTAGTCTGTGGCTGAGCACATAGCTATGGAAGAGCCCAAAGGTGCCTCATTAATACTTTTCCATTTATTGAAGCCCATAGGTACTGGTGGTGTGGAAACCCTACTAAGACTGGCCTGGCAGCCTGAGTGGATACCCAAGAGACCCTAGCGTTGTGTGAGCAGCAGGACAGGGTCACAGGGAACAATGACCTGTGTGATGGAAGAGGAAGACTTAGATAGCTGGCAGATCTGAGAGGAGCTTTAAAGGAACACGAAGATTAGCTGTTAGGAATACATGTAAAGAGAGACCAAAGGAGACCCCACAGCTTCTCCTGCAGCATTCCTAAAACATGAACAGTGGAAATGGAAACTCTAGAGTGAGCCTTAAGCTAAGGGCAGGATGTCATCAGGTGGAGGCATGGTGAGTGTGAGATGGTAGACAAGGAGATGTAGAGAGGACTCATGTCCATGGACTAGAGTTGACATTCCCACCCCTACACAGTGTTTTAGCATAAATAAAAGTATGGTTGGATCTGTCCCTATAGCTCGCTCTGAAACAGATGTAAAGACATGATAGAAAACATTCTCTCTGGCATGAATGGAGAAAAGAATCTTATTGCCAACCCCAGACCCTTATTCTGGTATAAATGAAACTAAGATTTTCATTGTTTTTACCAGCTAGAAGCACTACCATCCCTTCTACTCTCAACCCAGGGAAGTTAAATCCTTTGTGTGTTATGGTCAGCCCTGCTTTAGGAATAGGGGATTAGGGCTGGAGAGATGGCTCCGTGGTTAAGAGCACTTGTTGCTCTTGCAGAGGACCCAAGTTCAGTTCTCAGCACCCATGTGTGTACTCATACTAACTCTAGTTCCAGAGGTTCCAACACCCTTTTCTGGCCTCCTCAGGCGCCGCATGCACATGATACACAGACATGCATGCAGGCAAAGCACCCATGCACATAAGATAAAAATAAATCTTTGAGGAAAAAACACGAATGTAAAATTATATATAAAATTACAGCTAAGGGTATAAGGTCTGATATAAAAGGCCAGGCTCTCCCCAGAGGGAGGTAAGTGTGTAAAGTAGTAAACACGCTCAGGTGTGCCTGGGTGATAGTGCGCCTCAGTTCCAGCAGAAGGGGACTGTGGGTGGAGCAGTGTTCCCAGAAGGAGTGCCTGCAACCCCCACACGCATGATGACCATCTTTCTTTCTTCTAGGGCATCACATCGGTCACTGCTATTACAGTGCTCTACTTCCTGTCCCGGAGAATCCCCCTTCCTCGAAGGACCAAGATGGCAGCAGTGACTCTGCTCGCTTTGGCATATGCACAGGTACCAAGCCCTTCTTGAGCTGATGGTATTCCCCAAACAAAGTTAATGTTAATCGTAGGTTAATAATAAAAAAATACATAAAAAGTATCAAAACACTATTGTCATAAGAGGAATGAAAATTGGCTGGCTAATAATGCAACAGCTTTTTAATATCAAAGAAGAGCAACTTAATGAATATCATTTTGTAGCTATCATTCTATGGAGAGCTAAATTTTGGGTGTGGGGCGAGCAGGCAAAGAGATGTTATTAGCATGGGTGCAGGAAAATGGATACATTTAGATATTCTTGGTGAGACCATGAGTCTATAATAGCTTTCATCAGAGGGCAATTATACAATATAATATCTATTATATATATATATATTATATATATATATAATATAATATAATATAATGCTTTGATCCAGAAGACTGATGGTTGTGCCTGCCGTAGAAATACCCTTCTGTACTAGGAGCTTTGTGTGAGGAAACTCAGAATTGTGGTGATTAAAATTGGAAGCAAACTAAACCAACCATGCATGTCTTTGCTGTGGAGCACTGCACAGCAGTTTAGGGAAAATCAAGTGGCAGAACAATATTTTTAACAGCACAGGACTATATGCATCTGTATATTCCAACACTTGGAAGACAGGCAGGTGAGTTCAGGACTAGCCTGGTTTACATAGTGAGTTCTAGGCCAGCCAGGGCTTCACAGTGAAACTCTGCCTCCAGCAAACAAAAGTGAAAGCCTGTATCTCTCAGTAACCACATATATGAAAGTAAGGCATATAGAAACTGGTAACCATAACTACCGATGTGGAATAAGACAGGTAGATGCTGGGTATAGTAGCTCGTGCCTGTAATCCCAGCACTAAGGAAGAGGGTTGCTAGCACCATGAGTTCATGCGACAAGGGAATTTCAGGTTTACCTATTCTATTTGAATTTCATTGATTTACGTGTTTTACGCTTGCTTATGGGCGTTAAATACATGCTTTGTCATGCTCTGATTTGACCGCTTGGAGGCTTGTGTATCTGGCTCACACATGCAGTCACTTTCAGTATTACTAGCTTTCTTTTTTTTTCTACAACAGGTGACCTTGGGCATTAGCACTCTGCTTATGTATGTTCCAACTCCTCTGGCTGCCACACACCAATCAGGCTCCTTGGCACTGCTTAGTGGTGCCCTTTGGCTCATGAATGAACTCCGAAGGGTACCAAAATAATTCTGAGAATCACTCACTAGGACTGAAACTATCTTGGTAATTTATCAGCAATCACAAGAACTTAGGAGGGTGGCCTTGACATGCCACATGGCTTACATATCAGTCATGTCTCAAGACTGTTATGAGATGGACACTGGATCAAGAATGCCACTAAGGTGTCCTTACACTAAAGGTTTCCTTTAAAATCTGCTGCAGAAATAAGTGTCCGTCATTTGCTGCTGCTTACTAGGCAGTCTGGCTTTTCTTAGCGTTAGGAAGATCTTGGATTTCCGTGTCCTTGTGCTGCAGAATCCTGTCCACTAATCAGGCTGGTGGTGACAGTGACAGACCCAAGAACAGGTGCCCCAGTGGAGTTACTGGACCAGTCGACAGGTAACTGAATGTTGGTTTGTGACCAACATCTAGTGTTGTTATATCTTCTTAAGCACCTAATAAACTAGATTTTGAAGTGAAGATCCTCTTTTATGTATGTGTGTGTGTTTGTGTTAATATATGCCATGTGTGTACATAATGCCCATGGTGGCCAAGGAAAGTGCTGGATCCCTTAGAGCTGGAGTTATAGGCAATTGTAAGCTGCCTGATATGGGTGCTGGTAACCAAACACGTGTACTCCGGAAGAGCAGCGGTCACTCTCATAGCTGAACCACCTCTCTAGTCCGGGGTGAATATTATTAAAATTAATTGTTAGTCAGGCAATGGTGGCACATGCCTGTAATCCCAGCACTTGGGAGGCAGAGGCAGGTGGATCTCTGTGATTTTGAAGCCAGCCTGGCCTACAGAGTGAGTTCCAGGACAGCCAGGGCTATTACACAGAGAAACCCTGTCTCGAATACCCACCCTGAAAAAAAAATTTTTAAATGTTTACAATTTCTAGCTTTTAAAAATGATACGGAGGCTTAGTATGTCTACCTGAAGTTGCCCATTTGCAGTTTCTGAACCAGATGATCAGTCTTTCAACTCTAGTATTCTGTGAGTCTGTGTATCCTAAAGGGTATGCTCTCAGCTGTTCTTAGCAGAACAAAGACACATGTTTTATTTCCCTAGTCCCAGTCCCTCAGGGCTTGTGCTGTTGCACGGGAGGGGTTTCCTCAATCTCAGAACTCAAGACTCATCTTAGACCCACTCAATCCAAGCCCTTGGAACAGAAGTGTGGTGGGTTTTCGAGACAGGGTTTCTCTGTGTAGCCTGACTTTACAGTCACTCTAAACCAGGGACATCCCAAGTCAGCTCAGGCTTCGGGTGTTTACTTCATTTTTCTTTGATTACAGTTGAGCATGTCTGGAAACAGATCTGGTGTTTAGCTGTTTAACTGCACTGTGCTCTCTGTGCACTCCTGGTCAACAAGATCATCTTAGCTCTTTTTGTAGTTCTGTAATTTGCTGTCACCAGATAGATACCAAATACTGAATGAACTGGTGGAAAATAATAGTTACTGGTTTTATGTTCCAAATGTCTGTTTCAGAAAAAGCCATTGCACACTTAAAGGATCAAATAAATTTCCTTTAATGTTTTTAACAGTCTGTCAACAGTTCTGTCAATTGTTTTTAAACATAAAAGTAATTAAAACATGTATTTTCAGTCAGCTAACCCAGGATCTATCTTTTTTTCTTTTATGAGCCCCATTGGGTTGATCAGGACATAACTCTTATGACATCATTTAATCTTTTTAAGAATTCACTTATTATTGTGTGTGTATATGATGGGGAGTATACACTATGTACATGCATGTGCATGCAGAGGTCAGGGGACAAGTCGTGTGAGTTAGTTCTCTCCTTCCATCTTTGTGTGGGTTCTGGGGGGTCACACTCAGGTTGCCAGGCTTGTGGTCTTACCTGCTGAACTGTCTCAGTGGTCCAGATTTCTGTCTTTAGCCTACACTGAGATATGCTTCTACTGTGGCAGGGTTAATGACTGCCAAGAGTGAAGTTGGTCACAGAGACCGACTCTGGAGAATCATGATGCCAGTTTCCCTGTAGCCTTCCGGTCCTACGGTGAATGGTGGGTTATATGTGGGCATATGTGACACAGAGCTATGCCCCGACATGAGGGTTACTGAGTCACCATTCCAATGACATTGCACATTTTCTGTTTATAAGCTTCATGTTTATCAGAATATTCAGAACGATTCATGAAATTTAGGAATTCTATAGAATTCTTACTGAATGTGAAGCATCTGGAAAGCAGTCCCAGGCACCCAAAACAGCACGTCTGGGTCTAGGTCACAATGGAGATGCCAGAGCCACCGCAGAGACCACACTCAAGGTAGAAATCACGGAGGAGACGTGGCAGATACTTTACAGCTTCAGGAGACATAAAGTGTGGAAGGAGAACTTGAAGCAGAAGTCCTGGCAGGCAGAGTACTCAGGATCCCTACTGGCTGACGCGGCCTGAAGAAGCTAAAGAGGCGGGTCCTGTACTGCTAGTGGAGCCAACCTTGGAATGTGCTCCATGGGGTGGGCTGCTTAGGAATTGCCAGGGCTGCCTTCAGATCATGCTGTAGCTTAGATTTGGGTGTCCTCCAAGGGCCCACTTGTTAAAGGCTTGGCCCCAGGATGACATTATTGGGAGGTGGTGGGTCCTTGTAGGCACAGCTTCATAGGTCTTTAAGTCACTGGAGGACATGTGAGACTCCCAACTCCATCCTCTCTTGCATCCTGGCCATGGCTGAGCAATTCCGCTTTGCTACACACGTCTGCCACAATGCACTTCTTCATCACAGGCTCAAGCAGAGGGAACACTTGACCTCTAAAACTGTGAATCAAAACAACCCTTTTCTCTTCATGAATGATCTCAGATGTTTCGTTACAGCAAGTAGAGAGTAACAACAGAGGGAGCGGACAGTGGGCGGGCTCTTTGGGGAGGGGGTCTGTCAGCTGTTGTCCTACGGTCAGGAGGGCTCAGAAGTAGACATATCTTCAAGCTTGTCCGCCATGCATGCAGGACTAAACATCCTATTACTCAGAACATTTTCAACTCTGGTTTTTATAAAAATGGGAACAATGGTCTCATAATTGAAAAAAATGGAAGCCCTTATATATGAGCAATTAATTCCACTTTACCATATAAAAGGGTCTCTTTATTGCTCAGATTTCCAAAAGACAAAATGGTCTATTGGTGCATGGTTTTCCTCTGTCTCTCTAATAGTATTAATGAACAAAAAGAATGAAATACTAGGGCAAAGGGGGAATGTGAAATACTACAATGGCAGCCTATTGGGATATAAAATAAGACAAGATGGCTCAAAATAGAACCTAAATGAGCCACCCACAGAGACAGAAACTCCAGGATTGGCAGGGCTTTTCCAGTGAGATCAGATCCAAGTTAGGAGCAAGGTGGCAGCCAAGGACAGAGCCACTCAGAATTCAGAACACCACCTATAAGTATTTGATTTCGGTGCATTCATTCGTTACTCTGTTGTTAGTCAAAGGTGCCAAAGCTTGGTTCTGAGACCTCACTTTTGAACATACCAACTTTTGTGGCACCGATCAAATCCTTACAAATTTGGCAGAAGTCCATCATCCGGACAGCAAGACTGAGGCTAAGCACAAAGTAGGAGACTCTGAACCAGCCATTGCTACTCCCAACTGAAATGAAGTCACACAAGTCCCATTCTGGAAACTGTCCAAGAATCACCACCAAGTTCTGTAATGAGGTAGAGAGCTCTATTAGGCATTTGTACCTTCACTCAGATTGCAGTTATGTTATTGGAATGCTGTGGTTAAGAAAAAAAAATTGTTCAAAGTTAAGCTAATTACTTAAAAGTAAAACCTGAAGTATTTTTAAAAAGAAAAAAAAACCACTCAGATGGAGTGAAAACTTGTCTAATGAAAGGATGTCACCCGACGGGAGTGATGGGAAAAACCTAGAACCAGTCAGGAGCAATATGCTCAGTTCTCAACCATGTAACAAAGTGTCCCTTCTTGTTCTTAACCTATGGAACTTCGGGAAGTCTTATGTTAATAAAGTCTGAATCTCATAATATTAAAACAGTAAATAGGATATAATATACAAAACAAAAACTCAGACTAATTAAAATAAATTAAGAAATATATTTATATTGAAAAATGATAAAGATAGGCATCCTGAGATTTTTTCAACTATAAAAAGAATGTAGGGTTTATCAATCCAAAAGGCTGTCATGATTAAATCATATACAAAGAACATATAACGTTCTAAAGAGCAATACAAAGTAAGTGCTTGACAAATGGTAGGTACTGGTACCGTCAGGGTGAAGAGTAAATTCGGTAAGGAGGGCTTCAAAACTGGACGGCTCATCTCCTCCCTCCAGCTTCAGTTTGAGCTTGTGAATCACAGCCACTGTTAACAAGATCTCCCAAGAACACCAAAACTGGTACATAGAAACTAAGATGAAATGAAAAGTTCCCTGAGGAGGCAAATGGCTAGCAAGAACATTTTTGTCATTTTAAAGCAGCATTAAAAAGGCAAAGGCTCACTCATAGGGCATAAAAAATAGAATTAAAGAGAACCTTAAATTTGAAAAGAAATGTCAATGACATAGTCCTGATGGAAAACAAAATATGTAAAAGTGAAAGCCTCTTTGATAGACGACTGCTTATCTGATGTGCACCATGGTGGTGCAGAGCTATAATCACAGCACAATGAGGCAGGAGGATCATTGAGTACCAGGCCAGCCTGGGTTACATAATGAGACCCTGCCTATAAAGGAAAAAAGGAAGAAAATAATTTAGAACTTGCCTAACCACAGAGCTAATATATTTATTTATCTTCACCTTGGCTTATCCCTAGGCCATCTTAGTTTTTTTCCATTTCATAAAGTATTTCTTTTCTGTTCCCAGTATGGAATCTGTTTTCAAAGAAGTCCCATTTTTATTCTTTAAATTTAGAATTTTTTTTTCTCTATTCTAACCCTACAAATAAAAGACTTTGGCAAAATGAAAAGGAAATGAGCCAGGTCTGGTGGTACCCACCTTTAAACCCAGCACTGTGAGGAAACAGAGGCAGGAGGATCAGGAGTTCAAGGCTAGCCTTGGCTACCTAAAAAAATTGGGCTCAAGAGATTTGCCTTACTCCCAAAAAGAAATCAAGCTACTATTTCTGCCCTGGGAACAATCGCAGGCAGGCCCCTCATGGGTCTGTGGGAAATAGTCCATGGGGGCAGGAGGAGCTGACACGTTGAGTGTCTGGAAGGCTGGCTGCAGAGGGGCCGGTTTCTGAGAGGCTGTGGTGAGTACATGGTATGGCTTTCCTCTCCCCAGTAAAGGAAGTGCTATTTGTGACAGATGTCCAAACAAATGGCCAGCCTGCTCCATGGAAGATTTATCTAGTTATTCCAAAGTTTAGAATTTGCTTTCTTTCAAACATTCCAAAAATAGGTAAGAACTTTGATTTTAAGCCCCGCATGGTAGCACATGCCTTTAATTCCGGCACCTGGGAGGCAGGGGGATCTCTGTGAGTTTGAAATCAGGCCAGCCTGGTCTACAGAGTGAATTCCAGGACAGCCAGAGCGACATACACAGTGAGACCCTGTCTCGAAACCGCAGCCCCCAAAAGACTCAACTTTGATTTTACTGCCTTTGCCTACTCTCTTGATACTATTCTTCCTTAAACAAACAAACAAACAAAAAAGACCAAACAAATACATCCCATCCCAAAATACGTAAGATCTCAGCAGTGAAATGAGGGAAGTTGCTTTGAATCTTCTGCACAGAAAAATATGCCTGAGGCAGTAACCTGAAAACAGGCAAACCTGTCCTGGTAGTTTCTCCATTCCATAAGCACGCTTACGGCTCAAAAGGCAACGTGGATGCCCAGCAGCCTGTGAGGCACACAGACATGGAAATGTGTTCTGTGCTAGTCAGACCAAGTGTCAGATAAAATACTGTCAGGTCGTCAATGGATCATTCACTTCAAAGGGGTCCAGCCTCTCGGATCTACTTAACGTAATCAGCAACACTGTCAGGGATGTCAAGTAAGCAAGGAAGTTGTATCGTTTTGGTTGCCTTGAGATCCTGGTCCACTGAACCTCAGAGATCTTGGGTCCCTATTCAAGGCTGTGGATCTCCACATAAGGATATCTCTGTTACAGAGAAAGCAGGGGCAACTGCACTTGCTGGAATCTCTCTGGCTGTCTTATCAGTCAATCCAAGTTCAACCACGATTCCAGTTGCCCAATCAAAAACTTGCTTCAGCAAGAGGGGGAAATACTACATCCCAGAAACATACTAGCTTTCTGTGATAAAAGAGAAGCATGCTTCATTTGGGCTAAGCTTGGTCCCCTGTGTTAGCACTGGCCTCTCGCCACTTAGTTCCTCACAGATTACATTACGGCTTCTGAGAAAAGGTCCTGTCCTGGGCAAAAAAAAATTAAAGAAGTAGAAATTCCCAGGCCAAAGCAGCATCTGAGGCCAGTTGATGAAAGTGGAGGAATTCAAGAAGCAGCAGTCCTAAGGTTTTGGAGTTTCTCCGGTCCCAGTCCAGCCTCACGGCCCCACTTGCACCCCAATCATCGGCACCACTTGTTCAATCCACAGCAGGTCCAACGGAGTCGAGGCTCGAGTTTGTCGGCGATGAATTCTGTGGATTCGCAGAAGGTACAGGACGATGGCCAGCAGCACCACCAGGGTACAGGCGAAGAAGAGATAGTGGTTGTAGACAAAGGAGAGACGGAACCAGCTGCCATGGGCTTGCCGGACACCTCCCTGCCGAAGGTCCCTAGGGGAGTAGAAAGAACAACTAGTTTCAGAGTGAAACACTGGCTGTGATTTGAAGGATCCGCCCGGGTCTATCCCAATATTCATCCGCTCAGACAGCCTAAGAAGCCAGCCGCACCGAGCGAGTGAGGCTTCAGGGCATCCCCGGCCCAGGGGCTGACTGGTGCCTCCTGTACCTTCCTGTCCCTCGGGCCGGATGCTGCAGAACGTGGAGACAAACTCAAAAGGCCAATAAAACTAAGTTTTAAAAAAACAGACAAAACTGGTCACCTGCAAACTAAATCTTTTGTTGTTGTTTTTTGAAACAGGGTCATTGTAGCCCTAGCTATCCTGGAATTCATTATTGTAGATCAGACTGGCCTCCAACTCACAGAGATCCACCTGCCTCTGCCTCCTGAATGCTGGATTTAAAGTGTGCACCACCACACCAGACTGTAACATAAATCTTAAAATATAGTTTGTAAATACAGTACTAAGAATAGAGTATCCCTTGACTCCAAACAAGACAAATTGAATATGTCTACATCTTAAAAAAAAAAAAAAAAAAGGTGCAATATTTCTTAGGGTCTAGCATTCTATGCATGAAGGCAGCTGTGGCCTGACCAGCTATAGTATGACCTGGAAAAACAGCCTTATATAAACGGAAGAGCACCGGTCTGCTGGCCTGGCTAGGATGTCACTCTTGCATCATTCGGGTACTAGATCCATTTAGTTTGTATGACCTGCAGTTATTGTGGTAGTTTGTGTTCTGACAGAGGGCAGAACTAGCCGCTAGTTAACCACTGAAGCTGGGCGGTGGCAGCTCTCGCCTTTAATCCCAGCAATTAGGAGGTGGAGACAGAGAGTAATTAGGAAGGGTGGAGACAGGATCTTGGAGGAAGGGATGGAGAAAGGGAGAGGGGAAGGAAGCAGTTGGCGGCTGCTCCCATTCTCTGGTCTTCCAGGTTTTCACTCCGGTTTACCCCTAATTAGATTTACATTTCATGCAATGTTTTTTAATGTAATTTTTCAAATGGAAAGATTTTATATAAAATACGGATTTCTGATTTCTCTGGACAAATGAGAACTGGCAAATGTTGGGACACCTGTGTGTGACAGGAATCAGTACTTTAGTTGGTGCACACTGTCTGGTTCCTCGGAGCCACACGGCCCACTTCCCTCACACCTGTCCCCTGTCTGCTTCCTGATCACAGAGTTTGGAGGATCAGGCACAAGAGAGTAAAGGTAGATCTTATTTTATCTGAACCTGTCCTAGAAAAGAGGACCTAAAACCTGTCCCAAATATCTTATAGCACATAGCGGCAAGTCATGGGAGCCCACAACTGGATAAAAATAACCATCTTAAAACCATGTCGGGCCCTTTTTCTAATGCTAGGGCCACCACAAACTGTGCCAGGTCAGTGACAGCGTTTCTTGAATGATTCTACCCACAAGGAAAGAGTGCTTTGCCCACATAGCCTCCTTCAAGTCCTTGTCAAATATGTTTTCCAGACTAACTTAAGGCTCACACTTAGGCCCTCAGTGCGCATCCTAGAAGCATTTAGTATGAGCCCAACCATAGAGTGATCCCTTGGAGGACAAATAAAGCTGGCAAAGGCGAGGAAGAGAGTCCAGACCAGTTCATCTCAACCTTTCTGTCTCAGCATACTGACTGTGGCTCAGATGGAAGGAACAGCGGGAGTCTCTGGAGGGTGGAGGAGGTGAGGGGTTCACTGGCAAGATCTATTCTGAGGCATCGACCTAACATCCTCTGAGGTCAAGGGACCAGGTTGGTGAGTCTGACTTTACCTGAGTGGCAGGAATCGGGTTTTATATAAAATGGCTCCCAGGGTCCACTGCACCTCTCGGTCATACACCAGCTGTGCTGTCTGCAGGTTTGGATAGTCGTAGGGGAAGTGGAACCCTTCGTGCAGGACTTCGTACATCCAAGCTGACTTAAAACATTGATACCTGAGTAGTGAGAAGGAAGCTTTTAAAAATATGTTTTAAAAAATAAGAAGAAAAAGATAACTGTAACGCATTCCTTTGTAGGGACTCCTGCTTCTGTCGCAGGTCAAGCGACGAGCAACTAGCCTCTCCTTGCTTTGCCTTCTCCCCTCTAGGGACAGGCAAAGTTGAGGCTGTGGCTGTGGTTTTCTCCTGCTTTGAGTTTCAAGATTCTTGTCCTCAGAGAACATCCTGAAATAACTATGATGTATTTGTACAACACCTGTGATTTACATAAATGAAAAACCAGACTGGCAGAAGTTACGGTCATTCGGGAAGCTGGTGACAGATATGCAGGGGTTCATTGTGCTATTTCATGTTTGGTTTTGTTTTCTCTTTGTAGCCCTGGTCATCCTGGAACTCACTCTGTAGAGCAGGTTGGCCTCAAACTCAGAGATCTGCCTGCCTCTGCCTCCTGAGTTCTGGGATTAAAGGCATGCATCACCATGCCTGGCACCTTTGAATTTTTCAAAGTGAACATTTACAAATGGGAGGATCATGAGTCCTTGAAGAAAATGTTGAAGCTAGGTAAGTTACATTTTTATTCTTTCTACCTGTGCTGGTTTGAAAGAAAATGGCAGTGGCACTACTAGGTAGGGCATTGTTGGAGTGGGTGTGGTCTTGGCAGAGGAAGTGTGTCACTATGAAGTTAGGCTTTGAGGTCTCATAAATGCTCAAGCTTAGACCACTTCCTGTTGTGTGTGAGTCACGATGTAAGAACAATCAGCTCCTTCTCTAGCAGTATGTCTGCCTGCATCCTGCCTCCATTCCCGCCATGATGAGAATGGACTAAGCCCAACTGTAAGCCAGCCCAACTGTAAGCCAGCCACCAAAATTATATGTTTTCCTTTATAAGAGTTGCCATGGCACGCCTTTAATCCCAGCATTTGGGAGGCAGAGTCAGGTGGATCTCAGTGAGTTCAAGGCCAGTCTGGTCTACAGAAAGAGAGTTCCAGGATAACATAACAGCCAGAGCTGTTATGCAGAGAAACCCTGTCTCAAAAAACAAAAGCAAAACAAAACAAAAAAGAGTTGCCAAGGTAATAGTGTCTCTTCACAGCAACAGAAACCCTAAGGCACTACTTTTCAGCTAATTTTCTATAATAAAATATTTAAAATACAGAAGGCCACTCTTGACACTTGTCACTTGGAGGGAGTGTCCTTTGGTAACTACTGGTTTTCTGCTGCAGAAAGGGGCTCACTATTTGGTCCCAATTCTCCAGAAAACCAAAATCTGAAATAATCCAATTCTCCTTCAGCCTAAAATCCGATTTGTACTGTTCGATAGTTCTCCATTATAATCTGTCTCCCACGTTTTAAGGCCGTATCTGAAGTAGACAGGAAAGTTACTTACTTGAGCCGATGCTCATCTGCGTGTGGAGAAAAGAGGCCATTCTTGAATCTCTGTGCGAGCACTGGCCATGCCATGCCACAGTAGTCCTGGAATGGGCACGGAGAAAACAGTGTGACATAAACCACAAGCGAATTCTCCAACTCCCCACGGCACAGCTGCTCCATGTCCAGGTACGCGGAGCTACTATCTCACCAAGGAAGACAAGCGGCACACTGGACCACTGGACACCACGCCATGCCTCCTCTACTCTCATTGCTTCCACTTCTAATACAAAACAGCCCAAGCTGGCTCCTGAGCCTCTTAGGCGTCAGAGAGCCCGAGGGTTAGAAGTAAGAATAATATCAAGAGCCAGGGAGCTAGCTGCCGCCCAATCTGTGAAAATTCATATGGGCATGGGGAGCAGCCATCATCAGCCTGCCTGGGGGTCACACCTCTCAAAGAACTGTTTTCAGTTGGTAAGAGAATAAAGAAAAGGGTATCACAGAGTGTGCAGGATGGCACGGTGCTGAGTGGAAAACAAAGCAGGAAAAGCAAGGGTAATATGAGGAGGGTGGGAACTGTGGATAGCAAGCATATCTAGGGAAGGTGGGAAGACAACATTTGCGCTGGAATTTTAAAAAATCAAGGGAACAATCTCTTTTACCTCAGAAAACTTCCTAAGTCAACTAGCAACTTGGCTAAGCAATCATTTGAGCCCTCTGTTTTCAAAGCAACGGAATCTGAGGAATCTTCGTGACAAGAAAAGGACCCAAGTCAGGCCAGTCAGGGAGCTCTCGAGGAGGTAAGGAAGAAGGGGTCCCTAAAGCTGGAGGAGCAGCATGAAGCAGGAGCTCCTCAGTACTCCCAGGATTGCCTCTGGGGGTGCAACAGCAGAAACTGCAGATGCCAGTCTGCTGGAAGTATACCTCAAAACAACCTTAGGGAACTAGAAACAAGAAGAAAGCCCAAAAAATGTAAGAGGAGACATTCTTTCCATCTCTGTCTCTCAGAGAGATCACAATTACACAAAAATCAAAGGCATGATTTGCTGAATCTAGAATGTTCCCTAAGACTCATGCATTAGAGACTTGGGCCCCTGGGTGGCACTGTTGGGACATAGTGGGACAGTCCTTCATTAGGGGCAGCCCTTTACAGGACATTATGGGACCCCAGCTCCGGCTACACTCTTTACTCCCACTCTCATGATGTAAACTGTTTGGCTCTGCCATGTATTACCACCATGTTATGCTCAAAGCAAGGAGGCAGTTGACCGTGGACTGGAACCTATTAAACTGTAGGACAAAACAAATCTTTGTTCTTTAAGTTGAACACTGTAAGTATTTTGCTAAAGTGATCTTTTTATTTTTAATTCTTATTTATTTGCTTCTTTTTTTAGTGATTTTTTTAATTGACTAACAAAACCAGGTGTGATAACATACTCCTTTCATCCCAACATTTGAGAGACAGAAGTAGGGAGGCCAGCTTGGTTTCTGTAGCAAGTTCCAGGCTAGCCAGGGCAACATAGTGAGACTGTCTCAAAAACAATTAACAAAACCAAAAAATAAATAAACAAAATAAAATGAGAAACAACAACCAACTTAACTGACACAGACTCCAAACTGAGGCAGGGGCTACAGAGAACTGGTCAGATTTCTAGTTGTGCTGGTAACTAAAGGTGTGAGCCTGTAAGTGTGTAAGCTCTATATATGTGCAAAGTGAATTTTTACTCTTTCGCTTAAAACATTTCTACCATCACTGGGGTTCACAACACCTTATATCAACCTTATATCAGACCATTCTGGCCTCTAAAAGATTTTTTTGAGTGTATATGTGTATGTATGCAAGGGGGGTTATGTGTGCCACGAGTATGTGGGTGCCCAAGGTGACCAAAAAACATTACCAGAGCCCTGGAGCTGGATTTTTACAGCAGTTCGTTGTGAGCTACCTGATTTGGGATTTCCCTCTGTATGCTGTGAATACCATTGGTTAATAAAGAAACTGGCCTGGCCTGATAGGGTAGAACAGAACTAAGTGGGGAAACCTAAACTGAATGCTGGGAACTGAACACTGGTCCTCTGGAAGAGCAACAGTTGCTTAGCCACTTATCCATCTTTGCAGTCCTGACTCTGGCTCAAACCAAGAGAAGAAAAACAGACCTGTCCACCAAGAGCACCGTGTGAGTCAGACACCTAGCAAAGGGGAAACATGTGAAACGACACGTCGGAGCCACAAACATCGGGGGAGTTGGAAAAAACGCTAACTATTTACCATTAGAACAATTTTATCCCTCGGTGAAAATACATACACTCATGGAAACCTAAACACATCCTATCAAGGGCAGTTTAACAGAGATGGTCCCTTAACCTCTGAGGTCATTTTCTTCTCTATAAAATGAGGGTTCCTGGCCCTTAGAAGGACTCAAGTGAGATCATGCACACAAAGCCCTCTGTACACTGCCTAGCACAAAGCCCAGCATCCACTAAATGGCAGCTGCCAGCATGAGTCATCTTGAGTATTAATGAGTTACCTGAGCAGCCTTGGCAAATGTTGGCCCGTGGTAGCGGCCACCGATACGCAACACATCCTCTGTACAGTAAAAGAACTCAGAGAAACCGTAGAACTCGCTGTTGTTGAAGTCAATCGGTGACTGGTAGATGCCATTCAGCGAGGCCTGGCTGGTGTTGGAGCGGGCCAGCAGGGGGCTCAGCATTGCCCTACAAGTGGTCCAGTCACCCTTTCCTCGGACATGCAGGACCTGGCTGTTCCTCTCCACCACATCTGTGAGTCCCACAGGCAGGCAGGGGTCCAGAAATGGGTTGTCAGGACTCAGGCCTGTCTTCTGGCCCAGCAGTCTGTCACAACAACAAAAGCAGAACATGAGGGGGCTGGCCCTGACCTCTTCTGAGAACTAAGCTCACTTCAAAAGCACCTTCTGATTTTCAATGACAAACGGGCAACAAGGGCTGAGTGGAGTATTTCTAGGTGGCAGCAGCACATGCATGTTTAATTGAAGTTTAGAAACCAGGGAGCAGTGTACCAGTGATGGAATTCACTCGGCCTCTCATTATCGTGTATTCCCAGCGCAGAGTCACACAGGAGCTGTGAATCTGCTGTTCTCCCTCTGCCTGCCTTCCCATAAACCTCGGAAAAGTGCAAGGGATTCCTGTTTAACACACAGCTGGGGGCTGGAGAGAGGGCTCAGTGGGTAAAGCACTCCCTGCACAAGTATGAGAATGTGAGTTTGAATCCTCGGAACCCGTGGAACAGCCAGATGAGGTGGTGCGTGACTGTAGTCCCAGTGCCTTGCAGGGAGAGAGGAGGCAGACAGAAAACTCCCTGGAAGCTAAAGGGCCAGCGAGCCTGGTGTGCACAGCAGTGGACTGTCAGGGCTGTCGGAACACAGTCCAGGAATGGATTCATGTAAGGAGAATTCTGAGTGCTTGTGAAAACACTCCAACAGTCTTGTGTCCTTAGTTTCCTAAAAACACAGATCTGTTCTTGGGATGCCCTTTTATGCTCCTCTCAGGCGCAGCAGATAGGTGTGTGATTACTTCAGACTACTCGTCATTGCTTGCTGATGGTATTCAATCAAGTGTTTAAATTATCCTTTATATGCCTCCATGGGAAAGCATGTTTTTGTCATGTGTGGCTTGTCCTCGTGACTGTATACAGCTTGAACTCATGGGACCTTTCTTAACCCTCAGAGTATAAACTGCCTGAGGCTCTGAATAAGTTGACTGGTGCCTGAGACTTTAGTCGCTTCACTGATCTACTCCGTTCTCCCAGGTTCCACTGTTGCTAGAGCGGTGACAGTGGACAAGAGACCCTGCTCTCAAACAAGGAGAAGGGGAAGACGGATCCAAGGCCCCAAGTGTCCCATGGCAAACACATGCCCACATTCACACATATCAACGTGTGCACACACATGTGCATACATGTATCTTATACACACAAAAATACACAAACACACACAACTGGGAAGAGACAAAAGAGGGAAGAACTCAGAGAGGAGAGCGTCCTGAAGAGGGAACCATGGCAGTGATACAGTGGCAACATCTGGCCTGGAGTGAGTGGTGCTGGGCCAGCCAGCCTCCTGGGATCACAAATCCCTCGGCTGCTAAATGGGAGGGGGGACAAGACTTGACTCCTTCCATGGCCACAGCTCTACTTCTCTAGCCTATACTTGCCTAGCAATCGTATTCTCGTTACTAAGAAGATTGATATGCAAATGTGTCCAAAGGTAGAAAGCACATGGTGACCACTGGTACCTGCATTAGTTGTTCATTAATTATCAGTTCCTAAACAGGCAGCTGTGAACGAGTGGACTTTGCTGGGTGAAGATGCAAGAACAATTAGAAACTGAAGGAGGATTCGGGAAAGGGTAATGCAACAGAATGTCCGGGAATAAATGGAATCTGACTATTAGCGAGAACTGTCCCGGGAGGATAGGTCTGTCTGGTAGACTGGCAGCTATGGGAGCCACCTAAACAATCCTTAAAGTTGGCTGATGTGGGATGTCCTTCTGTATATGTGATACTTTTATTGGTTGTTGAATAAAGTTGTTTTGACCAATGGTTTAGTAGAGCAAAGCCAAGTGAGAAATCTGAACAGAGATATATAGAGAGAGAGTAGGCAGAGTCAAGGAGACACCATGTAGCTGCCAAAGGTGAGAGACGCTGGAACCTTACCGGTAGGCAACACCCATGTCGTGATACATGGATTAATAGAAATGGGTTAATTGAAGATGTAAGAACTAGCTAGGAAAATGCCTAAGCTATTGGCTTAGTAATTAATATAGTTTCTGTGTGATTATTCAGGCCATAGTAGCTAGGAAACAAATGAGCAGTCTCTGTTTACAAACGTAGGCAACTTCTGAGCTTGCCTAGAAAGTACCAAGGCAATGGATGGATGCCGTCCGGCAAGAGTGATGAGAGGAGCACAGGGCAACCAACAGAGAAGGGAAGCACAGCAGTTAATGAAGCAGGAATGAACTGAATCCAACACGAAGCTTTCCGAGCCAGGGATCTCCAGTTATCACAGCACGGGGAGGAGCAATGAGTGCCCCGGTAAGTCAGCTTGTACTGACAAACAAAAACCCTCTGTGGGATGTTCATGCAGTCACCCAGAACACCTGGTCCCCAAAGCTCCATCAACTCCTAGTGATGGAGGCTTCAACAATCAAGAAGGCTGATGAGACAGCATTCAGCATTCCCTAAATCTGAGACAGCTGCTGCGGAGAAATCATTACAGGTGGGTAATGCATCTTTAGCTTAGTTTTTCTTGTGAAACCAATGGATATAATTGTTTGATGAAAAGAGCCTTTGTTTATTGTATCTACAGTACGCACAATGATAAATAACTTTAAATAATCAAAACAAACAAATAAGAATAATTCATAGCTGTTCATTATGGCCTGAAGGTATTCAAATGAGAAACCAGTGATCTCGGGGCTGAATAGTGGTTCAGCTGTTAAGAGTGCTTCCTGCTTCTGGAGAGGACCCAAGACCCTGCACCCATATGAGGCGGCTCACAGCCAACCATAACTCTAGCTCCTGGGAATCCAATGCCCTCTTCTGATGTCTACAGTTACCTGCACATATGCAAACACATGTACACATAAATAACAATAAAACAATAAAACAAACCCTTTTAAAGAATCAGTGATCTTTGCAGTTCTGGATGTCAAACTGGCTATGCAGGACTCAAACACTATTTTAAAGGCATTTTAACTTTCTGCACTTGTTAAATTTAATATGCATGAGCAAACCCAACTCTCACACGAGAGGAGATAATCCACTTCTCCTAGCTACAAACTTCTCCTGATGTCAGCTATGGCTGTGGATACAGCAAAATAACACAAAAGATGGACATTTTCGCCAGCCATACCACTAAACAACAGAGTGTACCCTTGCAAAGCAGGGGCTGAACCGGGTCCCTAGAGATGTGGCGGGAAAGGAAGAGGCAAACTTAGCCGCTGTAGCTGAATGTCACCATTTTCCCCTCACATCTGCAGTCTGGTAGAAGTGAGGATTCCGTGTCAAACGTACCTGTTTCTGTTAAGCGTTTCATTCAGCACAAGGTCTTCATAGCGCTGCCGGGCAAAGTTGCCTCCAAAGCCCAGAAAGGTGGTGACGTAAACCCTGTACACATGCTCCGTGTGCTGCACGTCACAGCCCAGGTTGAACTCAGCCAACAGGATCTTAGCTGCTTCTTCCTGTCACACAACATCGAGAGAAAAGAAAGGGGGGGGGGGTTCAGTTCCTTTCTAGAAAGCAGCAGCATTGTGAATCCACCAAGCTCCATTTCTAAGACTACTCTTTAAAATGGCCTTCCAATCTCACGGCCACGCACAGTGATACGCTCCTGTAACTCCAGCACCCACACAGCCGAGGCAGGAGGACCACAAATCCAAAGACAATATGAACTCAGGGCAAGTCCCTGTGTGTGTCTGTGAGGTCATTTCCCAAGAGGTTTAACTGAAGAGAGAGGATCCATCCTGAACGTGGGCAGTACAATTTCATGGGTTGCGGTCTTGACCGAATGAAGACAGAAAGAAAGTTGGGCACCTGCAGTCTCTCTCTGCTTCCTGACTACAGATGCCATGTGACCAGCTGCCTCACTCAGGCCACGCCTCCCCCACCATGACGGACTGTTTCCCCTCAAAATGTAAGCCAAAATGACCTTTCCTCTTAAGTGGTTTTGTTGGGCATTTTGTAACAGTCACGAGAAGCAGCTGACACAGGGGAAGTGGGTTCATTATAGTTGACACCATTTCCTGGTACGGACATCTGTATTTTCCAGTTCTCTACAATGGAAGTGTACTATTTTCATAATTAGAAAAAAAAATCCTTTACCAAAGAAAGGATCGTTGTGAGATCTATTCCATGACCTTGTCTAGAGTTATTCAAAAGCTTTTCCATGTCCTCTGACAGGCTTGGGCATTGGCAAATTCAGTTTTATCTTCAAAATAAGGGAGGTTTTGCTGTTTGAGTGTTTTTGGTTTTTGTTTTTTTGTTTCAAGCAGGGTCTCACTGTGTAGCCATGGTTGGTCTAACATTCACTCTGTAGTCCAGGCTGGTCTCAAACTCACAGAGATTCACCTGCCTCTGCTTCCCAAGTACGGGGATTAAAGGGGTGCACCACCAACACCTGGCCTTGACTTTGGTTTTGAACTTTAAAGGTAGAGATTAACCTATATCTCCAAACTCTAACCCATAGCAAAGCCCTTCCTCTGGTCTAATTGCTCCTGCTCATTCTCACATCCGGTCTATCCCTACCCTGCTCTGAATCACCATCCCAATGTGTTTCTTGTGTAATCTTTTAATGTGTATGATTGCAAAATGGAAATAACTATTTGGACTGTGGGATTTTTAATTTATGAACATATTACTGCACCTAGCAACTCTACTCCTCGATTTATACCCAGGAGACCTAACAACTTATGTCTACACAAAAGTGTGTTCATGAATGTTCCCAGCGCTGCCGTCCATAATCCCTCAGTGTGGAAGCTGCTCAGCTTATGCATCCAGTGATGAATGAATGAACAAAAGGTGGACTTAGCCACCAAAACCAGCAATGAACTGGTACACACCACAACATCGATTACCTTGGGAACGTTTTTCTAAGAGTCATACTGCATGATTTCATTATATGCAAAGTCCAGAAGAGGCAGATCCCTAGATGAGAGAAAGCAATGGAGGACTGGACAATGGGAGACAACTGATTTTGGCAGTGCTGAAACGTTCTGAATTCCAAGCGATGCTGTATGGTCTTTGCTTTTTAACCAAATGCTAGCATCCATCTTTGATTTCACTATACTGCTGTGTCTGCATCTAATTTGGTGCTTGGAAGTACTTCCGCTGCTGCTTTCTAAATCTGTCCACACAAGTCATTTAAGACCTAACACTCAAAGACCACAAATGTGAATTCATTTTAGCTCACTAAGCCTTAGGACTTCAGAACTAGAAGACCAAAAAGATGCTCTGACCCCGGCTCAGGACCCCACTGTTTGTTCTGACCCCTTCTCAGTACCCCACTGTCAGCTCTGACTATGGCTCAGGACCCTACTATTCATTCTGACCCTGGCTCAGGATCACACTACTGCCTGCCCTTCCCCTGCCTTCTCTCTCCGCTGGAATCTTCGTCTTCCTAGTTCCCCAGCCTGGACCATCAGGACTTCTGCAGATCTCATAACACCATACTGGTACACTCACCTAAATATAACTAGATTTTTGCTCTAAATATTTGCTGAAATGTGTGCCCTTCCCTCCAATTCCATCTCCACTGTCTACTCTGACCTTGCAACTCCTCACTCAAGACTCTTCTCACCTACATTTCTCTTTTCTACTCACACCAAAATTATCTTAAAAAACAAACAAACAAAAAAAAAAACCAGACCAGCAGCTGGGAGGCCTTCGAGTTTGTCTGACTGTGGAACTGAGGCTCATGTGACTGCCTCGCTTTGGCTGGGTCCTTACAAGTGACAGAACTGAAAACCAAGCCCCCTCCAACAACACTCAAGACTCCTCATGATCCAATTCCATCCTCTCTCCCCAGAACCTCCCCTGAAGCTCCTAGGGTGGACAGATCACTGAGCACTCCTTAGACATTCCAGTCTGCTGCCTTCTCTGTTCCTCTGCACACTGTGACAGTGGGGGACAGTCTCTGCTCAGCTTTACTCTGATCCTGTGCCCAGGTAAGCAGCTCACCTTCCACGAAGGCAGCATGGTTCCGGCTCAAGCTTTCACAAGTAGGGCTGACCTGCTGGTCCCTGTCTCCTCCCAGCTGTTGAGGCAAGGGGGCCTCAACCACGGGCAATGCTAAACATCACAGTATACCCAGCCACACACAACTATTCAGCCCCAAACAACAGCACCAAGGGTGAGAAACCATCATTTAGATCAGTGCTTCTCAACCTTCCTAATGCTGCGACCCTTTAATATAGTCCTTCATACTGTGGTGACCCCCCAACCATAAAATTATTTTCATTGCTATTTCATAAGTAATTTTGCTGTTATGAATTGTAACATAAACACCTGATATGCAGGGTATTTGATATTTGGCCCCTAGGAAAGGGTTGTTCAAACCCCCAAAGGGGTTGCAACGTACAGGTTGAGAACTACCATTTAGATCATATTATAGGACTGCTGTCATCTGCCTGACACTTCTGACTCACTGACTTCTGGAGGCAATGGAACTAGCATGTTCTATTTCTTGTGCACACTGCATGTTTAAAAAGGGCTGCTTCTCTTTTCTCTCGCTAATGAATCATCTCCCTAAAAATACATTCTTGGCTGGAGATGAACCCACTGGTACAGCACTTGCCTAGCACATGCAGGGCCCTGAGATTACTCCACAGTGCCACAACAAGGAAACCAAAAGCTAGCATCAAAATGCATCCTTTAGGGGCCAGGACTCAGTAAAGTACCACGAATAGAATGAGGGCTTGAGTTTGAGCCCTATCGCTCACACAAAAAAGTAGATATGTACTGTCAGTCTTAGGTCTCACACTCACTCCGCATACACAGGCGCCCACACCACACACACACATACACAGTGGCAGCACACGCCTGTAATCCCAGTCTTGGGGAAGAGTGGAAGAAGGACCCCTGGAGCCTGCTGACTCAGTCTCACAGGCAAGCAATGTAGGATGTCCTTCCATTTGCTGTCAATATGTGTTTCTTTCACTGATTGATGAAGAAAGTTGTTTCGGCCAATGGCCAGCCAGAATAGAGCCACGCAGGAAATCCAAAGATATGGAGAGAAAGAAGGCAGAGTCAGGGAGATGCCATGTAGTCACCAAAGAAGTAACATGCCAGGACATCACTGGCATATGGCAATACACAGATTAGTAGAAATGGATTAATTAAATTGTGAGAGCTAGTCAGTAATATGCCTAAGTCTTTGGCTTTTGTTTTTGTTTTCTTTCCTGAGACAGGATTTCTCTGTAGCTTTGGAGCCTATCCTGGAACTAGCTCTTGTAGACCAGATTGGCCTCGAACTCATAGAGATCCATATGCCTCTGCCTCCTGAGTACTGGGATAAAAGGCGTATGTATGAACGGTATCCAAGACTGACCTGTGTATTTACTCTTCAGGAAACCCCCGAAGATACATAGTATTAATTATCACTGCTAAAATGTAGCAAGCACTTATCATAAGTGGGCCACTTGCTAAGCACTTGACATTCTGATATCCTGGCAGCTTTGTAAGAGAGATACTATTATACCTTGTGGACACTCAGGACCAGGGAGGTAACCTGCTCAAGATAATGCAAGCTAGTGCCAGGGTGGTGGCAGGCACAGGTCTTTAATGAGGCAAAGACAGGCAGATCCCTGTGAGTTCAAGGCCAGCCAGGGTCACACAGTGAGACCCACATCTCCATGGGAAAAAAGGAAAAGAAGATAACAGAAGCTAGCAACTGTCTGACCGGATCCAGGACTCTGGCCCCCAGCGTACAGCTTTAAACACTGATCTCCCTACACTGGCACTGGGATTTCTAACTGAACTTCCACACAAGGCAAAATACCTGTTTGGGAGGAAGGACAGAGGTTGAGGTAGGGACTTCATAGGCAATTTGGAGAGAAGCTCCTCCCATGTCCAGTATCCCCACTGTCCTCCTGCGTCCTGCTGCTGAGTCCAGGGAAGTGTCAGCATCTGACTCTGAAACCAGTGACAGGATTCAAATAATCAAACACAAAAACCAAGTCCAAAGGAAAACACACCCCAACCCCTCCCCCCAACACCGCTACCCCACCTACACCCCTGCCCTCTGCAAAAAGAAAAAGAAAAAAGAAAAAAAAAGAAAAGAAGAAATTTGCCAGGCCAGCAAGATGGCTTATCTAATAAAAGCAACTAAAATAAATTCATCTATTAAGTGTACATTATACAGAGAATAATTCTTTCAAATGACTTAAATGTAATACTTCAACTATATATCCACAGGGATAGGAGAGAACCAACTCTAGCGTGTTGTCCTCCACATCTGCACCATAGCGTGTGCGTGCCCACCCTCATACACACGCAATAAATAATGTTCAAACAATAACAACAGTGGAGGACTTTTGAAAAAAATGTGTTCTTTGGAACAAGCGTAGACACAAAAAAGAGCAAACTATTCGAAGGGTTGAGACTGGGTGAGGGGTTTGCCCACGTTCATTTTGTTACTTCTTCTCTAACAGACATTTGAAGCTTCCCATAAAGACTACAAGGAAGAACAGCTCCCAGCAAGCACAGACACACTACTGAGAGCCTGGAGAGAAGCTGCAGCCCTGAAGAACATCACACGGCGGAACGGACTTACCATCTTCATGGTCAAATCGTCCCAGAACAAAGTTGATTCCAATCCATGCGTAAACTCCTAAGGGAGAAATGGAAAGGCCTCTCTATAATTCTCTACTGCTGGACCATATCCACCCCCCACTTCAAGGGCACCCTTTTTCTCCTTTCTTGGGAAAATAAAAAGAACCATAATATTCTACTCCATACTCTTTAAAATTTGTTTTTATTTAATGTGCATTGCTGTTTTGTCTGCATGTATGTCTGTGTGAGAGTGTCAGATCTCCTGGAACCAGAGTTACAGACAGTTGTGAGCTGCCATGTGGGTGCTGAGAACTGAACCCAGGTCCTCTGGAAGACTAGCCGGTGCTCTTAGCTGCTGAGCCACCTCTCCAGTCCCCGTTCACTCCATGCTCCTGGTGCATGAACCTTAAATCTTCTCTCTCTCTCTCTCTCTCTCTCTCTCTCTCTCTCTCTCTCTCTTCCTCTCTCCCCTCCTCTCTTCATCTAGCACACTGCTTCCCACTCCCATCTCAAATAGTGCTGGGCTCATGCATGTTAGCTACCTGTATCCCCATCACATCTTTTCTCGTGTGATTTTCATTCTTTCTGCAATCATTTGTAACTTCTAATAATTCTATGAAGACTAGGACCTAATTGTAAAAACAAAACAAAACAAGACAAAAAACCTCTTCAAATAAAATGTTTAAAACTGTATCAAGAGTCAGGCATGGTGCCATACATCTCTAACCCCAGCACTCAGGAGGCAGAGGCAGGTGGATTTCTATAAATTCGAGGCTAGCCTGATCTACACTGCTTGTTCTAGGCCAACCCAGGCTTCACAGTGAGACCCTGCTGAGAGATGGGAGGGGTCTGGGTGAAGCTTACTGGGAGGATGCCTGTTCAGCATGACCAAGGACTTGGGGGAGAAGAGTGAGTCTTGCAACTGTGACTTCTGAGAAAAGTGGGGGGAATGCGCCCACCCAGCGTCCCCACATGAAGCAAGTATAACTCCGAGAGGGACGCACACAGGGAATGCGCCCAGCCAGCGTCCCCACCAGATGCAAGTGTAAGTCTGGGTGGGATGCACACAGCAGTTTTGTAAGAACTCTGAAAGTGAAGCGAACAGTGGACACACAGAGAGACAAGAATTGAAAAATGTTCCCAAACTGGACCAAGTCTCTCATTTTTTTCCCTTGGCTTCAACTCAAAAACAGTTGGGGTGAAGAAGAATCAGGTGTGAACAGAGGGAACTTTCTGACTCCTTTCCAGCTCAGAGTGGGAAAACAGACTCCAAAGGTTCAGAGGCAGCAGGGGGAAGTTCAGGGGGGACTGATTTGCTGTTGCTTGTTTGTCTGGTTGTTGTTGGTGGTGGTGTGTGTGTCTATGTGTGTGCCTGTGTGTGTGCACCTCTGTGTGTGTCCTGTGCCTCTGTGTGTGTGCCTGTGCCTGTATGTGTGTGTGCATGCCTGTGTGGGTGTGCATGCCTGTGTGTGTGTGCCTCTGTATGTGTGCCTGTGTGTGTATATGTGTGTGCACACGTGCACATGTGCAAGCTAAGTGTACACGGCGACCAGACATGACACTAGATGTCTTTCTCAGTCTCCCTCCACCTTATGTTTTGAAGACAGGGTCTCTCAGCAATTCAACCAGGCTGGTTAGTCAGCAAGCTCCATGGATTCTTGTCTCTGCCGCTTCAGCTCTGGGATTACAGGTGTGTGTCACCACACCTGGTTTTTTATGTGAGTGCTGAAGGCTGTAACTCAGGTCATCACGCTTGTGTGGTGAGTACTTTACCAAATGAGCCATCTTTCCAGCCCCATGATCACCTCTGGTCAAAAAAAAAAAAAAAAAAAAAAGGGTAGGGGATAGGCTGAATCTCTGAGTTTGAGGTTAACTTGGTCTACAGAGTGAGTTCTAAGACAGTCAGGGTTACACAGAGAAACCCTGACTCAAAAAAGAAAAAAAGAAAAAAAAAGGAAGGGAGAGAGAGAAAGGAAGAAAAGAAAAGAAATTGGAATGGCTGGCCATGTTGGTGCTTGCCTGTAATCCCTGCAGTAGGAAGCAGGGGCAGGAGGATTGCTCTAAGTTTTAAGCCAGCCAGCAAGTTCTTGACAAGCAAGGGTTACACAGTGAGACCTTGTCTCAAACCCAGGAAAGAAGCGGTAGCAACTGATCATTCTGGGCACCCTGGGCCACATGAGAATATCAATGCAGTGGTGTATTGTGGGAAGTCACACCACATAGCAATTACAATAAAAGAAAAGCCCAAAAGAGAAGAAAAGTAACTCAGCCTAATCATTCCTTGAACTAAGGTCTCCTCACACCTTAATGGAATAACTTGCTTTCACGTTTAAATTAGGAAAACTACACATAACTCCTAGAACTGTATGTTTGCAAAAGTGTAATTAACTAATCAAAGACCCATTTGGAAACATCATTAAATACTAAGTATGGTGCTAAGTTAAAACCAGATATAAATGTGAGACTTCCAGAAGCAGTCATCTGAACCGGATGACTAGTGGAGGAGCTACCAGTAGACAGGACAGTTGAGCCAAGACCATTCCGGAGAGCAAAGTGGAAGGCGGTGCACACAGCAATCCCAAGCACCTGCTAGGGAAGCTGAACCCTGAGCATCTCCAAGGCAACCCGGCGCTACCCAGCCAGCCCAGTACCTTCCTGCTTCCCAGAGATCACTTCAGCCTGAGACTGTGAAAAGAGGAAGTCAAACTCCAATGGCAAATCTTTCACTAAATCAGCCAAGATAGCCAACTGTTGCCTGCAGAAAAAGAACAAAAAAATCCCAAAGTTAATTATTAACCGTCTTTTCACCTGGCACCAAAGCGGTCCAGTAACCTGTGGCAGAAGGAGGGCTTGAGCTCGGGGCCAAGGGCTAGCCTGGGAAACATGGTGAGCCCCCATCTCTGAAAGAAAACAAATAAAAACCTCTTATCACAAACTGCCCTCCCATGTAGTCTTGTCATGATGCCTCCCCATCTACCCCATCCACTTGCCTAGCGCTTATCCATTTTGGTTCCTAATTTGACTTCAGAGGCTCAAACTGCAACGAAAGAACAGCCTCCTACACGAAGACAGTATTTAGGGGTCAGTATCAACTCAGGAGCTCCGAGACCAAGTTCTCAGCACAAAGGAGATTGATCTGCCCCAGAGGGACAAAGGGCAGGCAATAGAGACAAAGATGGGAGATAGAGGCCAAGGGAGAAGAGGAAGGAAACAAGGGAGAGGGAAAAGGTGCAGCTGTCCCAGAAGCGAGACAAAGAACTGCCTTTGGGGAGAGAGCAGGCAGCATTAGGGTGAAGTGCTTCATCGTTACTGGGCGTGTTTCATAATTACATGAGCTAAAGGGGGCCTTTGATTGCTGGACTTCAATACTTCCATAGTTGGACCTTGGTCTCAGGAGGAGGAAAGGCCAAATAAAGGAATAGACCTTGGGGGCCAGTTTTAGAAATGAATCTAATGGTTTTTATAAGGCAGGGGGGATGGAGGAGAGGGGCGATGCCTGCCAGAGCCATGTTCCATGCTCAGGCTGGCTAGCGTCCCTTCACCTTAAATCATGCAGTAACTGGGTGTTACATGAGGAGGAGCACATGGCTTTATGGCTCTGGGCGAGCATGAGGAAGTCACAGGAAATTACAGCCCAGATTCCCAAGCTATCAGACACTCTTGGCTACACTGTTTCTAACTCGGAGAGGAAGATGTCAATTACAGACACAAACTCACCCTCGGGTCTTACACAATACAGCCTGCCTCACATGACCTCACAACTCGGCAGTGATCACCACAGCTCTTATATAATCTATTATATGAGCTAACAATTAACTTTTCCATGTTTCAAGGGTTGACTTTTTTTCTTTATAAAAATCTTATCATTTGAAAACCCCAGAGGCGGTTCAGAATACAAAGTTCATTAGAATTTCCACTTCAATGGTGATATTTGATACTTAGTATCTATGTGGGTATTTTTCCTCTGAAGTTTTAAATGTTTTTCCTAGGATTATTAGATGAAGTAAAAATAAATAAAGCAAAGTATAATAAAATGAATCCAAGGCAAACGTTAGTTAAAAATGAGATCAATGGTCATTTTATGTTTGCAATGTTCCCATGATTTGTGTGTGTGTGTGTGTGTGTGTGTGTGTGTATACATGTAAATATGTGGAGGCCAGAAGTTGACATTGGGTGTCTTCCTCAACTAATCTCTACCCTTTTTTTTAAAAAAAGAAAAGTTAGATTTAATCATTTTATTTTATGTGTATTTTGCCTATATGTGTGTATGTGTACCACATGCACGCTTGATGCCCATGGAGGTCAGAAGATGACATCAGATTCTCTGAGACTGGAATTACAGATGTCTGTGAACCACTTTGTGGATGCTAGGAACTGAACCCAGGTATTCTACAAGAGCAACAACTGCTTTTGATCACTGAACCACCTCTCCAGCCCTCCATCTTATTCTTTTCCACACAGGGTTTCTTCAGTGAACCTGGAACTTCCTGGTTTGGTTAGACTGGCTGGCCAGCAGCCCCAGGGACCCTCCTGTCCCTGCAGCCCCAGCACTGGGATTACAGGCACGCTCCACTACACCTGGCTGGGGATCCAAACTCAGGCCCTCATGCCTGGGAAGCAAGTACTTTCTCAGCTGAGGCCTCTCCCCAGCACGTCTTGGGTTTCTAAAGTTATTCATTATAGGAATATTCTACCAGGTCAGATAACTGTCAACATGACTCAGTGAAAACTATTGCTGCCACTTAAAAGGGCAGAATTATACTTGAAGAACTAATTTTCCAATACAATCTCAGGTACAGCGTTTTTAAATGCTGCTACACATCATAACGTTCTACAGAGTTCACAGGGGTAAGGAGGGGCTATCCATCTCTCCGGACTGGACAGGCTTCTGAGTGGCTCTGAATTAGGAGTACTTGCCGTGTAACTCCTGCAGAGGACCTGAGTTCAGATCCCAGCACCCACATCAAGCGTCACAATCACCCGTGACCCCAGCTCCTTCTGGTCCCTCAGGAACTTGCACTCGTGTGCACGTGGATACCCACACAGACACACATAATTAAAAATAATAAAAAGAAAATCTTACGAGTTTTCAAAAGAAATAAAATGAAAAAACAAAAACAAACAAACAAAAAAATCATATACTGTACTGGGATGAAACTTTCGTTCTCAACATTGTTCTTTTCTTTAAACTCAATGGCGAAACTTTGAGAGCTCCTCAACAGAGCCGGGTTACATAGAAGTCTCCTGCACCGCTCCACTCCCTCCTTCCAAAGTTTCATATCTGAAATTTCTTACAGTTAAAACAAACAAACAAACCAACAAATTTGCCAACATGACTTCCCAAACACGAGCTGAACAACAGAAACACCAATGGACATGCCAAAGGGAACAGGGCAAAGTTCACGAGGCCTCAACCCTAATCAAAGAACCACAGGCAGCTAATGAAAACTGGCAGCAGGGGAGGTGGTCTTCCCCAGGTCAGCCCTGAAAACATACATACAGGTAACATTATACAGACTGAGCAGGTTATTTTTAGGAACATATATATATATATATATATATATATATATATGGATATATGTATACAATAACAATTAACGAGAAAAGAGGCCAAGAATTTTAAGGAGAGTGGGGAGGTATAGTATATGGAAGGGTTTGGAGGGAGGAAAGGGAAGAAGAAAAAATGCTGTAATTATATTATAACCTCAAAATTTAAAAAAAAATTAAATGAAATAAGATCCTGTAAATACCTTTATATAATTTTATAGGTATTTACATTATAAAATAAAGAGGAAGTAGAAAAAAATCTGCTTGATTGTTGGCAAGAAATACAACCTAGTGCATATTCAAATGCAGTCCATATGACTCATGGGCACTAGTGGCAGATACCAATGAAACAGGAAGGCATTAATCACACAACGCAGGTTCTTGCAGCAACAGGCAGATGTGTATCAGCAACTGCCTTAGAGGCAGTCATGATTTCATTGAGCCCAGAGTGGACATATGCATTACTGAAAGGTAATCAGAAAAGTAGGAAGCGAAATGGAAGATGCTGGACACAGCAGAGCCTACCATTCCGAGATTCCACACTCATACTTGTGTGACAGAGGCAATGCAGGGCAATGCCAGGAGATGAATTGTCTATTTTGCCTTAGACACACATATGGTGGCTAAACCATCACCCACGTTCTTCTGCCCAGCCCTGCTGGCTGGCTCTGCCACTTTGACCTTTATTCTGGGTTTCCTCCCCAGCCTAGGTTGTGGGGCCTCAGGCAGGCCCCAGGCTGTGTGATCCGGCATCCTCACCTTCTGCCCTTACCTCCTGTTCTTGTCCCAGGGTTTCAGAAGTTCACAAACAAAAGGTAATATTACTTACTTCAAAAAGCAAAAATTCTGGAGCTGATGGGTTGGCTCAGTGATTAAGAACAATTGTTGCTTTAGATCTGGTTGCAATTCCCAGCACCCACATGGTGGCTCACAACCATCTGCAACTCCAGTCTCAGAGGATCTGAAGCCTTCCTCTCAACTCCTTGGGCACTAGGCACACATATAATGCATATACATGCATGTAGGCAAAACATTCATACAAATAAAATAATAAATCTAAAAAAAGAAAAATTCTAGGAATGGAGAATGTAGTTTGGTTAGAGAAGTGTTTACCTACCATGAACAAAGAAAGCCCTAGGTTCAGCCCTCGTACCACACTAAAACAAACAAACAAACAAAAAGGCATGATGGAATGTGCCTAGCACTAATCTCAGCACTTGGGTAGCAGAGGCAAGTGAATCTCTGTGAGTTTGAGGCTATATAGTGAGATCCTGTCTAAAATAAACAATGTAATGTAAATTACAGGATGATCCCAACTTCGTAGCAATTACATATAGATATACAAAGAAAAGGAACCAATGCAAAACAAAAAGGCTGGGAGGCAGAATGGACAGTTTTGTTTGGCTTGATGTATGTACTTTTAGGACTTCCTGTAATGATGTAAGGTTATAGCTTTGACATTTAAAGCATGATTTGTAAAACCAAAATAAAATTTTGTAAACACACAGCAAGAAGGCCTCCTATGATAACAAATGACTATAAAAATAATCTGCCCCTCACCAGAAAGCCAGAGAGCAACCACTCACTGAGTCTACGAGAGACAAGAACTCCAGTGAGCACAGCGCAGCGGGACACTGCACTGCCCGGCGCACCCAGACCAAAGCGCTCATCAACAGCGAGGGTTTCTGGTAGTGCAGCCTGAAGAAACACCAAGTGAGAACATTTAAATGTGTGGAAACCCAAACTGCTATTTACCAAGGAAGAATATTTCCATTATTAAGGGATGCCCAGTGCTTATGAGACTGGTCATTCTTGGAGGCTTAATTCCAACGTCGACGTTGGCACTGAGCTCACTGAGATAGCACCAAAAGCACAGGCAACAAAACCAAAACCCACAAGTGGGAGCACACCAAACCGAGAAGTTTCTGGAACAACCAGCTGAAGGAAAAGGCAAGCTTCCTAGTGAAGTATTTACAAACTGCACACCTCACGAGGGTTTAGTCCTCAAAACACAGGAGAAAACTTCATGGCTTGACAGAACGGAACCTACATCCTGATTGATCACCTATTTCTCTAAAGACAAACGAGCGGTCGGCTGGTGTATGACAGCATCTTGAGGTCTGCACGAGGGAACTGCAAGCCAGCACTGCGGGAAAGACAACTTTACATCTGCTGGGGTGGCTATTACCAGAAAAACAAAAGGTATTTGCAGAGATGTGGGAAAAAAAGAACTCTTGACAGTGGGAATATAAAATGGTACAAAGTTCAATCCCTGGAGCCTACATATTGGGAGAACAGAAGCAACTCTTCTAAGTTGTTCTCTGACCTCTAATTGAGCACACCCATACACACACACACACACACACACACACACACATACACACACACACATACACACACACATACACACACACATACACACAAACACACACACACACCCATACACACACACACATACACACACATGCACACACACACATACACACACACACACACACCCATACACACACACACACACACACACACACAGTGTTAAAGAAAAAAAAACTTTAAAAGTGCATATGGATGACCGGAAAGTTGGCTCTGTGGTTAAGGACTCTGGCTGCTCTTGCACAGGACCCAGGTTTGTTTTTCAAAACTACCTGTAACCTCTAGTTCCAGGGGACCCAATGCCTTCTTCCAGCATCTGTGGGCTCCACACGCATGTGGTGCACATACCTACATGGAGGCAAACAGTCATGCATATAAAATAAAATTTCTAAACCTATTTTTAAAAAGTGTACATGTAGCTGGGGTGAGGTCCTAGTGGCAGAGCATCTCCCTAGTTAAGCTCTGTGTTCAGCCCTAGCATCTTTCTTGAGGTGGTAGTGCACACCTTTGATCCCAGCACTCGGAAGGCGGAGGTAGGAGGATCTCTGTGAGTTTGAGGCCAGCCTGGTCTACAAAGAAGGTTCCAGGCAGCCAGGGCTATACACAGAGAAACCCTTTATCGAAAAAATAACAACAAAGATATCAGGCTCAATTTGGGGTTCAGGTGGAAAAGATTGAACTGGTTGGAGCTGTGAAAGCCATCTAAAGCAAGAGAGACTGAGGTTTGTGTAGCAGGGAGAGGAAGGAGAGTCACCCATCATCATGGGACCCAAACAGAGTTACAGAAAAGGTCAAACTGCTGCCTTGGTCTCCCAATAGCACCCAGTATGACTCCTGTTCCTCGGGTGACTCCTGCCTTTGTGCAAATACGGTCTTACCATACCTGTTCCATGACTCAGTCACCATCACTACCACTCCCAATTGCCTCCACACCCTCAATCCAAACTCAGAATCCCTTTGTCATCTCACAGAGATACTGATCCAAAGCCACAAATGACAGGAAGATATTGCTGCCTGACGGTGCAGTTACTGGATACAGGGATGGCTCCACTGGTTCTGAGCAAGCAGCCTTCCCTTCCCCACTTGTGAGTTCTGTGTGGCGTGCCTTCACCCACCTCCATTCTGGCTGCCAGCGACTCGCTTCCCTGAGTCCCATACCATGCTGAATCTCACCTCTCAGGGAGCAACCTCATGCCCGCTGTGCAGAGGATGTAAAGGGGGGTCTCCTTGTGCTTCTTCACAGGCACGTGAGCAGCAGCAAAACTCAGAAGAGGTCGCAGGTAATCGCTGGCATGTTCTGGAGTATCTGCCATTGCGGAGATTCCTGAAATAAAACCAAACATGTATACATATGTGTCTGTGTATTTTAATGTAGATCACACAAGACCCAGAAAACGAATTCTCGTAAGATTCTGTCCAAGGACCTACATTTATGTTTTTGAAAGAAGTTGGATGGCAGTTAAGTGAGAGATTCCTCCCACTGTCCAGATTCCCACAAGAACAAGGGAGCTCCTTCCTCCCCTTTCTCTTCCTACACTAGGTTAAGAGATCAGTAACAAATGTATTCTAATGAGTACCTGGCTTGATTTTCTTAACCACAGGCTGGCTGTTTCGGTCTCTCATCTGTTTGATGTCCAGTAAGTCATGGGGGTTCCCATTATGTCTTGGCCAGAAGTAAACAAAAATCCGGGAGCCACTGCTACCACAGTCCACCACAAGTCCGTAATTCAGATTTGGGTCTTCGGTGTTGGTGGCTTCAAGGTCTCCTACCCGAGCCAAATACCTAAGACGGATAAAACAGAAATGAGTGGGTCCATGAAGAGGGCTAGTATTTCAGTTGATCGCTGAGCCTTCATGAACGTCCTCACATTCTATCGGGCTCCAAGCTTTTGTGTACTTGAGATAGACCCATGTATACTTGGTATACTACAAAATAAAGTGAAAAATGTTTCAGGTTTTTTTTTTTTTTTTGAGACAGGGTTTCACTATGTAGCCTTGGCTAACCTGGAGCTCCTTACATAGACCAGGCTGGCCTTGAATTCACAAAGATCCAGCTGCCTCTGCCTCCTGAGTGCCGGGACTAAAGGCATGAGCTACTAGACCCAGCAAATGTTTAAACAGTAATTCATCTGGATAACAACAATAAATTCATTCCATATTAACACAACATCAACATATTTATACATACATACCTATGCTACACTTTCAAAAACAAAAACTAGAAGAGTGGTTTTGTTTCATAATTTTGCAAATGTCTTTTGCACCTTGATCAACAATCAACAATCTCACATTTGCTTTGGTATTCAATGTGCTACAGACATAGCTTTAGCTGAGTGTGTGATGGTCTAGCCTTTCACACCTGCTGCAAAAGGGTTTTATTTCTTCCTTCTTTCCTTCTTTTTTCTTTCTTTCTTTTTTTTTTTTTTTTTTTTAGATAGTGTTTACCAGTAGCTATGGATCCAGTCCTGAAACTTGCTCTGTAAACCAGCCTGGCCTCGAACTCACAGAGATTCACCTGTCTCTGCCTCCCGAGTGCTAGAATTAAAGGCGTGTGCCACCACCACCCAGCTTCTTTCTTTTAAAATTTACTTTTATTTACTCATGGTTGAACGATGTAGGGACTGAACCTCATACATGCTAGACAAGCATTCTACCACTGAGTAACACCCTCAGACTAAGAAATAGTTTTAACAGACTTTCAGAACGCTGGAGACACTCTGCTTCTATATTATAACTAAAAATAAGTAGAGTTTCTTAGAGATTTTGCTGCAATTGCAACCGTCTCAGTAAAGGTTTCTACTCCATGATAAACATCATGACCAAAAGCACGTGGGAAGGAAAGGGTTTTATTTCATCTTACACTTCCGGTCACACTCCAACACTGTTGGAGTCAGAGCAGGAGGAACATGGGGCAGGAACTTGCTCTTCCTGGTTCGCTCAGCCTGATTTCTAACCACCCAGGAGCACCCGCCTAAGGGTGGCCTCAGCCACAGTGGTCTGCGCCCTTTGTCATCATCGGTAGCCAAGACAATGCCCTACAGACCTGCCAACCAACCAATCTGATGGAGGCATTTTCGCTGTCGAGGTGTCTCTCTTCCCAGAAAACCTGGCTTGTGTTAAGTTGACAAAAAATTCACTAACAAGTCAGGTGTTATGGTGCATGCCTTTAATCTCAGCACTCAGAGGCAGAGACAGGCGGATCTCTGTAAAATGGAAGCCAGCTTAGTCTACATAGTGAGCTCCAGGACAGCCAAAGCTACATAGTGAAACCTTGTCTCAAAACACAAAAACAAACTACCAAAACCTAGCCAACACAAAAACCCAACCACCCCAAAATTCTATATTCTGCTACATTAAAATCTATTGGCTTATCCTGAACTATAAAAAGATAGCTTTTTGTAATACGGCAAGATCCTATATCATTATCGGAAAAAAATATTCAATTAATTATGTAAATCTTCCTAATATTGACATATTTCACTGTACAGTTTTTTTTAATCACATCAGCACCAATGTTTCTCATAAAAATCTTTAAGGTCCTGGGAAGTGTGCCAAATTTAGTTGCAAAGATAAACTTGAAATTCTAACTCCCAGTTGGAAGCTCAGACTTTATCTATTTAAATACTGACACTTGTTTTCTTTAAAGGTAACAAGTTTATTTTATTCGTTTTTAAAAGGTCCACAGGTTAGAAGTGTCTCTTAGTGGTAGACCGCTTGCCTAGCGTGTACAAGGCATAAGGTTTAAACTTTTGCATGCCAATTTTTTTAATCTTGAAGATATAGATAGATAGATAGATAGATAGATAGATAGATAGATAGATAGATAGATAATTTTAAAAGTCTGAGATTTTGCAAACACATACACACAGTCACATGTTCATACCATGTGCAGGGCTGGAACACACAGAGTGCAGACGAGGCTGGTGGATACCTTGGAACTGCAGTTACAGGCCTTTGTGAGCTGCGTTGAGTAGGGACCAGACCTGGGTCCTCCGCAAGAGCAGCCAGGGCTCTTAACCACTGAGCCATTTCCCTATGATTTTTTTTTTTTTTTTGAGACAGAGTCTCACTACAGAGTATGTAGCTCTGGATGACCTAGAATGCACTATCTACACCAAATTGATCTTGAATTCACAGAGATCTACACCCTTTGCCTCCTGAGTGCTAAGATTAAAGGCATAGACCATCACACCTAAATACAAAATAGACTCTTTAAAAATAAATAAAATATCTATGAAATACCTAAGTCGGAAAACTACAGTCTTTCTCATGGTAAAAATAGTGTTTCACGGCTTAACTGCCCAAGGATCCTCCCTCAAGACAGCTTAGGAGCGTGGGAATGATGAATGGGAATGATGAATGCCTACTTCTCAACACATCACATAGTAATAAAATGCTGTCAAGTACATCAGATTCCCCCCACCACAACTGTATCACAAAGCGAATGCAGTAACAAAAGTACAACTGAGTAACGCTATCTTGATTTGTGCTAAGCCCTCCCCAGTTGTCTGCCCTCTGACATCATGGAGGCAATCGTCAACTTGCTGAAAAAGGCAAAGCACACTCACAGGAGTTGGGAGGTGGAAGCAACTCGAACATCCAGCACTGGAAGAATGGATAAACAAGAGATACTATTCAGTGTAACAAAGGAAGACCATCTCCTTACATGCTACTATGGGACGTTAGGTCAAGAGACATAAGCTAGCCACAAGAAGATAAATGCTCTATTTATTCCACTTGCATGAGGTGTGTACGGGAGTCAAAGTCATAGAAACAAAAGTGAAATAGCTGGGGACCACTGGCTGGCAGGCGGAATAGAGGGGAACTGTTCTTTGATGGGTAGAGAGTGTCAGACTTGCTGGATGAGAAGCTCTGGAGACAATGTAACAGCGAATGTGAGTGGGCTGAACACCACTTAACTGGACACTTAGAAATGGTCAAGAAGGTAAACTTTATGTGATTTACTACAATGAAAACGGTAGATAATATCTCAATATTATTACAAGCTTTGAATTCACAGCTCTCAAAATGGTCCCAGGAACTCCAAGGACTCACATTTTGGTAGCCAATGCTGTAATGCAACCCATTTTCTCCCAAGCATTCGCCCTCTCTCACCTTTTTCCCATTTTTTCTTTCTCATTGCTTTTGGAAAGGTTTTCCAGCCTTTTTTGTTGTTGTTGTTTGGTTTGGGTTTTTCTTTGTATGTTTTTGAGCAGGGTCTCGTATGTCTTATCCTCCTTCCCAAGTCCCAAGTGTACAGCACTACACTTGGTTAATGCAATATTAGGGATAAAACTAGGGCTTTGTACATGGCTGACAACTGCCCAGCCTGGTCTCTCCACAGAAGCCACTATGTAGCAATGCTGGCCCCAACAAAATCCACAGTGATTTCAAACGCCTTTATTTATGTTTTTGACAGGGTCTCACTAAGTAGTTTCAACTCACTTGGAACACACTCTGTAGAACAGATTGGTCTCAAACTCACAGATCCGCCTGCCTCTGCCTCCTGAGTACTGAAATTAAAGATGCGCACCTGGCCCAAGTGCCCTTAGAGACAGGAGCCTGGATGCCCTGGAGCTGGAGTTACCGGTGATTGGTGCTAGGGACCACACTCCAGTCCTCTACAACAATACACACTCTTAACCACGCACCATCTCTCCAGCCCCCGAGAAAGCGTTTCTTCTCCTCCTGCTCTAAGAGTACCACTATGCCCTTCGAGAAGCTTGTGTACATTTCAGCATGAACCCTTAAGGTTTCTCTCCATTTGCTTAGGCCATTTCTCAAGAGCATGCCGAGTACTGGCAGCACGGGTCAGTGGTCCTCACATTCCTGGACCTAAGATGTGGTCACACGGGACTCACTGCTCCTGGAGCTCACAGGACAGAGCTGCTGGTTTGCTCCCAATTCCTCTGGGTCTTCCTTCTGCTATCCTCAAAATCAACCGGGCATCGACAGTTTCAATGACTCCGCAGCCTGTCCTGTTATCCTTCCTGATTCTCGCTGAAATAAGCAATTTCACGGTTCTAATTCTGGTGCAGCTCAACTTAGCTTTCTCTTCCTTTAGACTTTGTCATGAGAGCAATAGCAAAAAGGAAAAGAAAATGTCAGCTGGCTTTAGACCACAGGGCAGAAATGAAGGAGCAGATGGCATTCAGCTTCCACTCCCTAGCTGAGTCTTTGATCAGTCACTGCAAGCAGCAGGAAGTCTCCAGTTTTCTTATCTTGTAGACAGACAGGTACTGAAGAAGGGCTTTCCCTCCAGGGAGTGGCAGAAGTACCACTCTCCAGACTGCTAACCTCGGATGACCTCATCGCTTGCTTACACTTCCCAGTCTCTTGAGCGTCTTCGCTTATGATTTGCAGATCTAGCCTTGGCTGTCATGGCGAATCACGTGCACCGCTGGACCATTCTTGGCTGATGCCACACAGAACAATTTCTAGAAAGAACTCAAAGCTTAAGAGAAAATGTCTAAAAAGCTCCGGAATTCCTCAGCCACCTTCCCAAGAGAGAGCCAGTTCCCCACCAGGCTCCTCACTTGCCTTCCCTCCACTTATACAGCGTAGATCCTCCATCTCCCTCCACCTCCTCCTCTGCCCACCCCTTCTCTCTCTAACATGATAGCCCTCCAGTCGCTGCTGAGTCAATGAAAGCTAGCCACAAATACATCCCCTCAAGTAGAAATGAAAGACGAGGGCTTTCACTGCCATTATCCTGAAAATATTAACAGCATTGCTGCCAGAAGTAACCAAACTATTACCTGGCTCGCTTGATCAACATCAGTT